TCTCCCCCCCCCCCCCCCCTCTCTCTCTCTCTCTCTCTCTCTCTCTCTCTCTCTCTCTCTCTGGCACTGAAAAAGAGAAGAGAGTGAAGACAACAGTGGAAGAGCCTGGAGGGTACATAAATAGAGAGAGAGAGAGAGAGAGAGAGAGAGAGAGAGATGGGGTTAGTGGTGATCCGCAGGAGGAGGAGGAGGAAGGGGGAGGATTTAGCAGTTGAAAGGGAAGGAGGGGGAGAGTCGGGGTTTTCTAGAAATGGAAGTTTTTGCCATTTTGGTGAAACGCGTACTGAGGGGCTGAAGGTGAGGTGTTTTGCCGTTTTTGTTGGGGGTAGTGTCAGCAAATTTCTTTGAAACCCCTCAAACTTCTTTTCCGTTCTTAACCGGCCCCCTTTAGGTTTCAGGTTTTTTGTGGGAATGGAGGGATTTTGTAGCAGAAGTCTAGGGGTGCTAAACCGTATCCGTATCCAAGAAAATATCCGTAACCGTATCCGTTAGGATACGAATATGGTTACTCAAATCTATAACTGATAGAATATGGTTATGGATATGGTTTTGTAGTGTAACAACCGTAAATTTTAATACGTATTTAAATAAATTTTTCTAGTATTCAAAATATTATACATTGTATTTTATTAATACTGTTTCCTAATTTTTGGAATTTTCCTGAGTTTTCAAAATAATTATAATAATAAAAATATATAGTGCTTGTATTTTATATTCTACTAAATATTAATTTAGCGTCTTACAGTGATTTTTATATATAATCATTTGTGATTATATTATTAATGGCCTTGTTATTATTGAGTAAACTTGAGTATAGTAAAATAGTATATAAATATGTAATAAAAGATTTTTGGTTGATTATTTAATTATTAATATAATTCAGATTTTATATGAATTTTGAAATTTATATTTCGCCTCTCTTAATTTCCTCTAATTTGAATTTGAATGCGCTTCCATATTTTTCCCTCTAATTATTTCTCATCAAACCCCCTAATGCACTCTGCCATCTTTGATTTGCTTTCCCAAAGCAACCCTCATTCAAACGGGCATATTCTCTCTCTACTATTCATGTTCTCCACGTGATATCTCTCCCCTTTCCTTTTTCTCTCATCCACGCGTACACGGCTTCTCTCTTTCCTCTTCAACAGTTGCAACCGAGACAAAAAAAAAAATAAGCAAGAAAAAAACCGCATCTTTTTCTCCCTTCTTCTTCCTCCCAGCACGGCGAGTCCGACCACAGCGAATCAGCTCGGACCTCCGACGAACCCAACCCGACCACCGCCGCCACTGCATCACATCCGCCGCCACAGAGCCGCAAACACGCCGCCGTCGAGCCTCGCCGCAGCCGCTCGACCCGCTTGCCGCCCGGCGGCTCAGTCCCTGCTCCGTCGAACGCTGGCGAACCGACCACCGACCGTCCGCCCTGCCGGCCTTCGCCGTGACGCACCGCCGGCGGCCACACTGCGTCCGGCGCAGTGCCGCGACGAAACCCAGCCGCGCGAACCGCCATCACCCAGCGCTGGCGAACCGAAGTTCACCGGCCGCTTCCGCGCACGTGCGGATCTGTTCACCGCCGGTTCGTCGAACGTCGCCGTCTGCAGTACGCTCTGCAACGGCGGCCAGCGCCCGTCGTCCGCACTTGCAAGCCTTCCTCCGTCAACGCCCCTCGAGCGACCGCGACTGTCCAGGCGCCTTCAACCACCGCCTGAGCCGCGCTTGCTGTGCACTCCATGCTTCGCCGGCCTTCGCCTCCTAACAGCGCCGCCGACCGCGCACCACCGGCCCAGGCCGCTCCTCACCGGCTGCCTGAACCCGGACAGCAGGCCCCGCTCGCGCCAGGAATACGCTACGCCTCTCCAGATCCGAGCGCCACGTTGATCTAGTTCTCACCGGAAGCTCTCCCGGTGTTTCGCCGTCAGGCTCTCCTCCGCGTCGGATCTGATCTCGCACGTCGACACGTCGACGATTCACCGAGGCAGAGATCCCGAACGGCTATAATTATTTCATTTTAATTATTAGTTTATCGTAAATTATTATGTGACTTGCCATTTTAATCTCTTATATGCTGTTAGTAATTGTTAATTATTTAGTCTGGATATGTTTGTACAATGGCGTGGGATTTGTTGATGAATGATAGTATGGAACTTGTGTTTTTTATCAACCTAGTTGTTATTCTCAATAGGGAGAACTAGTACATGAAAGACGACGTCCTGTTAAAAGTCATGATTTATAAGCGTGTTCAAGGCATGGCTGTACCTTGAATATTCGATATCGCTGGTAAGATGAGGTTTCGCGTTGTTATTATTATTATTAATAGCATTGAGCTTAGAGCGATGCAATCTTATCGCTGTGTTATGGACAGGTTATTTTCATAGTTTTTGCAGAAGTCGTCACGTTACTCTTGTGGTTAGTGGCACGATATTTCATGTACAGTTACTTAAATTAATATGACAACATGGGGATATAAAGGGGAATTTGGGATGAAGAATATAGCATGTATATAAACGGGCAAACAGCGCTTTCTTGTTATCGTTGATATCGTGAGTGTATGTAGCAGTGGGCCAGAGGCCAATACTTGACTTGAAGGCGGCCCCGCGCGATGACTGTTTACGGGGACCCGATTATATATATGAAAATATTCTCGCGCAAATTCAAATAACATGGTAACAAGAATGATATGTTGTGTGGGCTTTAATGGTGGACTTAGTTGGTTTTATAGAGATGTAGACTAGTTGTATTCTGATCATACATAGACGGGATTATAATTAATTATCTAGCAATCTGGGACATTAAGGTTATATATAATGAGGGTTTCGCTTGTTGGATTATTTCGGCTGTCGACGTAGCTACGTCCTCAGTTATATAATTAAGTATTAACTCATCTAGTTGTGTGATTTGGGGATAGCTTGGATCGATTAGCATGTTGGCTAGCTGTGGGTGATCTTTGGACACTTGGATGGTTTTCTTAAAAAAAGTTCTTCCTGATGATTTTATTTCAGTGATAGATTGCATTTAGATTTATTAGTAATGTTCTTTTGGCAAGCTATTATTATTAATTATCGCTGTTTTGCCATTGTCGTTCGATCGTTCCTATTTCTGTGGGATCTTGCGTGTGTTGCACACCTGACGTACAAACCTGTTTTTTCTCCTGGTGTACGTGAGATATAGGAGACGAGACCAGGCACTCAGTACGGAATCGTACAAGAACCAGCAAGATTCTCAGTAGGAGTGCCTCGCAGGTGGAAGTAGAAGAAACAATCTGAAGCGCAGTAGTTTTTCTCTGTAGTAGCATGATGAATTTAAAACATTTTTACCGCGTACTTTTTCTCTAAGTTATGACCGATTTTATTATTATTAACATACTTTCTTATATGACTATGTATTTTAATTCCTAGTTGAACCGTTTTTTGTAATAAGGCGTGTTTGACCCAGTATATGTTTATGTCTGGGATGATTTACTGTTGACTGAATATGTCTATTCCTTTATTCTGAGTTGTCTATTTAATACTTGCTACATTGTGAGGGAGCCTGTGACTTACGTGTATTCATTCTAGACGCGCTTAGCGTATTGATTGAGAAGAAAAGAAAAGAGGAAAAAAAAAATGATAGTGTATATTCTTCTCAATCTAATACGTCGGCGGCTTGTTCCACGTTCGGTTCCCCGGTGTATTTATGGGAAGCGGGAGCGTGACATGTAGTGAAATATATGTATCGCGTATCCGAAATATCGCGAATACATATTAGTCATAACTCCTTTAACGATAGTTTGCGATCTCTTAGATTATGAATTTGTGGTTAATTTTGATGATCAAGATGGTCTAATCTTAACTTTTTAATTATAATATGGACACTATTAACAAACTTATTTGTATCACATGAACTCATGTTTTTTCTCACATACTATCTAGTTTTTTCATATCTGTTTTGTATCTGGCATGCATATCCGCTTATATTAACTCCGACATGTATATCCGTAACCGTCATCCGATTTTGGACGGATATGGTTATAAATTTTTCTTACCGAGGTATATCCGTATCCGTATCCGTATCCGTATCCGAGATGGGTAAGCGGATATGGATATGATAAGCATCATATACGAGCCGTATCCGGACCGAATGCACCCTAAGCAGAACCCTAGAGTTCTGGGGGGTCTCTCGTTAAGCATGTAAAGTTCGGGGGGGTCTTGTGAAATTTACCCCTTATCGACCCACGTTGCTCCCTAAGCTAATCTTCTTATCCACTCTCCTAAAAAGGAAGACTGATGCTGGTTATCATGTCACCCAACACTTCAATAAACAATGACAAGACAGTTTATTTAAGACAAAGATGGTTGATGGTTTATTAGCGGGTTTTATTGGATTTAGAATTTCATAGGGAATTCATGTCCATAGGGCTTTATATATATATATATATATGAGCAATATGGGTATGCTTGGTACCAAGCATAAAAAGTTGTGCTTGGTAGTGATGTGTCACATCCCACTCCACTCATTCAAATATGGGACCACATTCACATGGGTAGTGAGTGGATGAGGATGTGACACATCACTACTATTGGTCAAAACTGCTTTCCAAAATAAATTTTCAAACTATATATGTTAACTACAAGTACTTTTCATAAATGCTTAGTAGCCTATTGGAAAGTTTATGTTTTGGTGTTTCAAAAAGTCCCTTGTTCGAGGCTTGCCAACAGCAAGTCGAGAAGTATTTTATTTGAATTAATCCCTCATAAGTTCTAGTGGGCCGTAGGCCAATGGGCCGGGGATCGAGGCTAATCGGGCTGAAGTGCTAAGTGACGTTTTGTTGGGCGTACTTTGCACCTGATAAGTGTGAAGTATGTACGCAAGCTAAGCTGACAAGGAAGCCATTTCCAAGTTTCACAAGGAGCACTAAGCTATTGGATCTGATTCACTCAGATACTTGTGATTTCAAGAGCTTCATCACTCGAAGCGGCATGAAGTACTTCATCACCTTCATTGATGACCACTCTCGCTTCTGCCACGTCTACCTGCTGAAATCTAAAGATGAAGCCTTCAGCAAATTTGTCGAGTTTCAGACTCGAGTGGAGAAGCAGCTTGGACTTTAGGTGAAAAGACTCAGGAGTGACAGAGGAGGGGAGTACTGATCTAAGGAGTCGGAGGCATTACTTCAAGGAGCATGGAATCATTGCTGAAACTATTGCTCCGTATTCTCTGTAATCTAATGGAATTGCAGAAAGAAAGAATCGCTCATTGACCGGGATGGTGAATTCGATGCTAA